CTTCTCTCCCTTAGAGAGTGAGTTGACAGGTTTCATGAGTTGACAGGTTTCACGAGTTGACAGGTTTCACGGGAGGAACCATTCAGAAGTAAGGGAACAGTTTGTACTGTGTTCTGCTTCTGAGACAAGGCTAGATGGAAGTCAGCAACTGAAATCTAGCATGCATTGGGACAGACGCCTTCCTGTTTGTGAGGAAGGCAAGGAAACGAAAGCAGAACCTGGTGACTTGGGCTATGGGCTCAGACCTTCTTTCGGGTTATTTGCCAACAGACCCAAAGGTTTCAAGATTTATTGTCACTTGCTGGGCTTGGAGGAGGTGATGGCTGGATACATTTGTCTACTGGTTCTTGAGAAAGCTATGTTTATGTGAAGAAATTTCAGCTCCCTGATAGGGTCGTCTAGAATTGAATTTAATCTTCTCTATTCATTAATAATTATTTAGGCAGCAGAAAATGGATAAAGGAAGACTTGAAGTGTTTTATTTTATTTTATTTTATTTTAGATGGAGTCTTGCTCTATCCCCAGGTTGGAGTGTAGTGGTGTGATCTTGGCTCGCTGCAACCTCTACCTCCTGGGTTCAAGTGATTCTCCTGCCTCAGCCTCCAGAATAGCTGGGATTACAGGCGGGTGCCACCACACGCAGCTAATTTTTTTGCATTTTAGTAGAGACACGATTTCACCATGTTGGCCAGGATGGTGTTGATCTCCTGACCTCGTGATCCACCCATTTTGGCCTCCCAAAGTGCTGGAATTACAGACATGAGCCACCATGCCTGGCCCAAAGGGTTTTCTTTATATTGCACAGTGAAGAAGACCTCATGAATAATCAAAACACCTTGATGTGTTTTGAGAACGAAAGGGCATCGTAAACTTAACCAGCAACCTCCCTGATGACACGAAGAACGTGGCCAGGTGGCTGCATGTTAACAGACTACCCAGCACGCGTGTTCCTTTTCCACTGAGAGGGCGAGAGCTGCCTGCCTTGTATTTGGGATGATGGTGAACTCCATAGGTTCCCCTCTGATCAGAAAGGCACAAGGTGATAAAAAGTGTGGTCCCACTTGATAGCAAACGGTACACTATCCTTCGTGTTTTGAGGTTACTTGCCAAAGTGTGCTTTGCCTTCCAAAATGGTTCTTTGGGGCTTTCTTGTAAACCACAGATTGAAGAATGTGGTTATCATGTTAAAGAAACATGCAAGAGGCTGGGCGCAGTGGCTCACGCCTGAATCCCAGCACTTTTTTTTTTTTTTTGATTGTATATTTTTTTGTTTGAGACTGAATCTTGCTCTGTCACCCAGGCTGGAGTGCAGTGGCACAATCTCGGCTCACTGCAGCCTCTGCCTCTTGGGTTCAAGCAATTCTCCTGTCTCAGATTCCTAAGTAGCGGGGATTACAGGCATGTACCACCATACCTGGCTGATTTTTGTATTTTTAGTAGAGAAGAGGTTTCACCATGTTGCCCAGGCTGGTCTCCAACTCACCCTCAGGTGATCTACCCACCTTGGCCTCCCAAAGTGCTGGGACTACAGGCACTGGTAGTCCCAGCTACTCAGAAGGCCGAGGTGGGAGATCACCTGAGCCCAGGAGGCAGAGGTTGCAGTGAGCCAAGATGTCACTACAGCCTGGGTGACAGAGTAAGACCCTGTGTCAAAGACAAAAAAGAAAAGAAAAACATTCTAAAAACATTCAAGAGCATTTCCTTCTAATATATGTAAACATTTGTTGAGTTTAGGAGCAAAGCCTAGCTGTGCCTGAGGGTAGAGAATTACAATTTAGTGAAATGTACACTGTTGAGAAGAGAGGGCACATTTTAAAGACACTACACAGAGAGCGCTCTGAATCTTCAGCTCCTCTAGCCGGCTGTTTGCTTGCCTTATTTTAATTATGGGTTTCGTATAGCTACATAAGTCTTTCCAAAAGACATTTCAGATATGTTCTCTGGGGCCCTTGGGCCCTTCAGTAAGAAGTGCCCTGGCTGAAAACCCACACAATTCACCTACAGAAGAAGCACTGTGATGGAGAGAGTGAGCAGAGGACCTTACAGTGGCTCTCACACCCACCTGGCTCCAGCTTGTCCAGTTCCTTTTGCCCTTGTGGGCCTGTGCCTCACCTCAGAAGTGGAGTTTCGGCCGGGCGCGGTGGCTCAAGCTTGTAATCCCAGCACTTTGGGAGGCCGAGGCGGGTGGATCACGAGGTCGAGAGATCAAGACCATCCTGGTCAACATGGTGAAACCCCGTCTCTACTAAAAATACAAAAAAATTAGCTGGGCATGGTGGCACGTGCCTGTAATCCCAGCTACTCAGGAGGCTGAGGCAGGAGAATTGCCTGAACCCAGGAGGCGGAGGTTGCGGTGAGCCGAGATGGCGCCATTGCACTCCAGCCTGGGTAACAAGGGCGAAACTCCGTCTCAAAAAAAAAAAAAAAAGAAGTGGAGTTTCTTCCCTTATGAAGAAGACCCATGAATTAATAACAGAATTGTCAGGAATGCTAAAACTATCTGAATGCCATGTATTGTTTTCAAGCTGTTAACTCCTGGAGGGGCTGGGTTGGCATTGTTTTCAAGGTTAGGATCCAAACACCAGCTCATCTATTCTCCAGCTGTTGTTTATCCTCCAGCTTCCTACAATAGTCAGGCACAAGATCTTATAAAAATAAGTTTGTGCTGCTACATGTTTTGGTGGGTAATAGGCATATTAGTAATGTCATCTTGTTTACTGAATGGGATGTAGGTGGGGGACGAGCACATCCGCATCCCTAAGAAACAGTGACATTTAAATGTAGTATGTTCCATCAGCTTCTCTCTGCCTTGCCCACCCCAACCCATTGATTGAGCCTTTTTTTTTAATATTTTATTTTTGAGACAGAGTCTGGCTCTGTCACTCAGGCTGAAATGCAATGATACGATCTTTACCGACTGCAACCTCCACCTCCCAAGTTCAAACGATTCTCCTGCCTCAGCCTCCCAAGTAGCTGGGATTATGGCACCAGCCACTACGCCCAGCTAATTTTTATATTTTTAATAGATATGGGGTTTTGCCATGTTGGCCAGGCTGGTCTCAAACTTCTGACCTCAAGTGATTTGCTTGCCTTGGCCTCCCAAAGTGTGGGATTATAGGCATGAGCCACTATGCCCAGCCTGATGGAGCCTTTTTACAACATCCCACCAGAAGGATCAAGTTCGCAGCTCCCTCAGCAGTCTATTTCATTTTTCATCCTTTTTAATTTTTTTTATTTGTACACCATATAGTACAAAATTCAGAACATACAAAAGGGCCAGGCACAGCAGCTCATCTCCACACCTGCCAGTCTTCCTCCCTTTTTCTCAAGTTAGTCCCCTTTTCTTCCTGTCCTTGCCCACCATTACCCTGGACTGGGCCTCTTGGCCTCTCTCCTGAGTGGCTGTACTAGCTCCTGCTTTTTGCACATCCGCTCTTTCCTCCCTCCAGTGTTTTCCACCCTGAATTTTTTTTTTTTTTAAGACATATCTGATCATACTACTTCCATACTTGGCACCTTTTGGTGGCTTTCAAGTGCTCATAGAATAAACAGCAAACTGCTCATCACGCCCCTCAAGGCTTTGCCTGGTCTGGTGCTTGCAGACCTCCAGGGCCGTTCTCACTGCCTGCAGTTCAGCCACAGGAACTAAACGTGCCCACTTTGTCTGCCAGAGTCTTATCTTGTCCTCTGGAGTGCTGATCTCTTTTCACCATCCCATCTAGTTACTGTTGACTCATCTTTTGGATCCAGGCTTCACTTCTTCAAGCCTTCACGGTCTCCCCAGACTAGGTCAAGTCCCCCACTACCCCACTTAAAACCGACCACACTATGTTTTCCTTCGCTATAACTTGTTAGGGTTATAATTTCCACTTATGTCTGTGATCACTGGATTAATAATTTTTTTATTCTTATTGATGTGAGATACTTTCTGCTACATATGAAACCATTTCATAAAGTACGAAGGATCCTAGAATAAAGGTGGTGATTATTTAAGATGCATGTTTATATATGAAGTGAAACTTTTTTTTTTTTTTTTTGAGATGGAGTTTCGCTCTTGTTACCCAGGCTGGAGTGCAATGGCGTGATCTCGGCTCACCACAACCTCTGCCTCCTGGGTTCAGGCAATTCTCCTGCCTCAGCCTCCTGAGTAGCTGGGATTACAGGCACACACCACCATGCCCAGCTAATTTTTTGTATTTTTAGGAGAGACGGGGTTTCACTGTGTTGACCAGGATGGTCTCGATCTCTTGACCTCGTGATCCACCCGCTTCGGCCTCCCAAAGTGCTAGGATTACAGGCGTGAGCCACCGTGCCGGCGAAGTGAAACTTTTAAGGGTGACATCCATGCTGATGATTGATGGTCAGCAGAGGAAAAGTCTTTCTTAGGAGCCCCTGCTGAACTGAACTAGGTCATTCTTCAATCCAACAGAAGCGCATTTTGGACACCAGAGTATGGGCACAGGGATTTTGCAGAAATTAACAAGATCCAGACAGGCCCTGCCGAGCAGCTCGTGCTACTGTATTTTAAAAACCCAAGATTACCCAAGATCTGTCTCCTTTATTTTTTTTCAGGTGGCCCAGAGCATTTTAGAAAACCTTATGCAAATTAAGTGATGGGAGCAACACTTTTTTTTTTTATCTAGGGAGATAATTTTTCCTTCTGCTTCCTTCTAATGATTCTTACCACCCTCCTCCTCTCCCCACTCTTTCATTTTTTTTTTTAAGGGACAGGATCTCACTGTGTTTCCCAGGCTGATCTCAAACTCCTGGCCTCCCTCAGCCTCCCTAAGTGCTGCTATTACAGGCGTGAACCATCAAACCCTGCCACTTCTTACCTCTTCTATTAAAAGATGTCTTTAGAAATATCCCCCCTGAAAAGGAGAGGCATCCTCTGAGAATTCAAGCCAAGTAAAGCTCATTTCACATCCCTTTTGTTGAACAGGAACTTCTGTGGTGTACACTCACCAGGAGTTGTTTTTGTGTCTGTCCTTTATCCCCAGGAAACCTGTAGGAAGTGTCAGGGACTCTGGAAAGAACATAATGGCCTCACCTGTGAAGAGCTGGCTGAAAAAGATGACATCAAGTACCGTACCTCTATGTGAGTAACAGAATTCAGAGGGGCTATGGGCTGATTCTCAACTTCCCCATTAACCTGCCTTTTGGCAGAGAGGGCATAGTGTTATAGGAAGAACACACTTGAGCCACCCCAATCTGGAGTGATCTTGGGGAAGTGACCTAACCCCTGAGCCTCTGTTTCCTCATTTCTGCAGCCTCATGGCGTTATTTCGGAAGACAAATTAACATATAAATGCCTGGCACATGTGAATTCAATAAGTGATAGTCCTCTTTTTCTTTACTGTCTAAATAAACAAGTGACATGTTTTAATTAGCTTAGACTGCACTAGTGTTGCTTATGTCTGTGTTAATGGATACTGTTGGCTTAAGACAAGTAGAGTTTCCCACCTCCAGAATACAAAATGATACATCTGTAATAATAACTGTTACTTATATAGTACTCTCTATGTGACTTAGCTCATTACAAATACACAGTGAATAAAATGCAGGCCAGGTGCAGTGGCTCACACCCGTAATCCCAGCACTTTGGGAGGCCGAGGCAGGGCGGATCACAAGGTTAAGAGATCGAGACCATCCTGGCCAACATGTTGAAACCCCGTCTCTACTTAAAAAAAAAAATACCGGGCCGGGCGCGGTGGCTCAAGCTTGTAATCCCAGCACTTTGGGAGGCCGAGGCGGGTGGATCACGAGGTCGAGAGATCAAGACCATCCTGGTCAACATGGTGAAACCCTGTCTCTACTAAAAATACAAAAAAATTAGCTGGGCATGGTGGCACGTGCCTGTAATCCCAGCTACTCAGGAGGCTGAGGCAGGAGAATTGCCTGAACCCAGGAGGCGGAGGTTGCGGTGAGCCGAGATCGCGCCATTGCACTCCAGCCTGGGTAACAAGAGCGAAACTCCGTCTCAAAAAAAAAAAAAAAAAAAAAAAAAAAAATACGGGCCGGGTGCGGTGACTCAAGCCTGTAATCCCAGCACTTTGGGAGGCCGAGGCGGGTGGATCACGAGGTCAAGAGATCGAGACCATCCTGGTCAACATGGTGAAACCCCGTCTCTACTAAAAATACAAAAAATTAGCTGGGCATGGTGGCGTGTGCCTGTAATCCCAGCTACTCAGGAGGCTGAGGCAGGAGAATTGCCTGAACCCAGGAGGCGGAGGTTGTGGTGAGCCGAGATCGTACCATTGCACTCCAGCCTGGGTAACAAGAGTGAAACTCCACCTCAAAAAAAAAAAAAAAAAAATACAAAAAAATTAGCTGGGTCTGGTGGCATGTGCCTGTAGTCCCAGCTACCCGGGAGGCTGAGGCAGGAGAATTGCTTGAACCCGGAAGGTGGAGGTTGCAGTGAGCCAATATCGCACCACTGCACTCCAGCCTAGCGCCTGGCAACGAACGAGACTCTATCTCAAAAAAAAAAAAAAAAAAAAAAAAAATTAGCTGGGTGTGGTGGTGCGTGCTAGTAATTCCAACTACTCAGGAGGCTGAGGCAGGAGAAGTACTTGAACCCCAGAGGCCGAGGTTGTAGTGAGCCCAGATCGTGCCACTGCACTCCAGCATGGACAAGAAGAATGAAATTCCGTCTCAAAAATAAAAATAAAAAGGAAACATGCAGCGATTGAAGTAATACTGAAATTTCCTTCTCTCTCTCTTGTGACAGTCTAGCTTTGCCACACAGTTGAGGGTGCATATCTATCTCCTTAGATTATTCGGAGATTGTCTCACAGCCTGACGTGGTAGCTCATGCCTGTAATCCTGACATTTTGGGAGGCCAAGGCAGGCAGATCACTTGAGCTCACGAGTTTGAGACCAGCCTGGACAACATAGCAAAACCTCATGTCTACAAAAATAAAAAAATTAAAAAATTAAAAAGTGTTATCCAGGAGTGCTGGGCACACACTTGTAGTTCCAGCTACTTGGAGGGCCAAGGTGGGAGAATCACTCACACCTGGGAGTTCAAGGCTGCAGTGAGCTGAGATCGTGCCACTGCACTCTAGCCTGGGAGACAAAGTGAGACTGTCTCAAAAAAGAAAAAAAAAAAGAGAGAGAGAGATTGTCTTAACTGCCTGCTTCACCCTTCCCTGAAGGTGGTGTTCTCATCTGCATGATTATAACTAGACCGTGGCCACATTTACACTCAAACCCAAAGGAAGTGGGAAATAGACAAGTTGCTAGGGAGGCGGCTTTTCTTGATGTTGTAAGTGATGCAGGAATTATATATATCTCACTTTCGCTTATACCCCATTGGTCTAAACTGTCACATAGGCAAGGCAAGCACCATATGTAGCCTGTAGTTGGGTGACTTTATGTCCAGTTTAAATATGAAGGATATGGAAGGGGTTTGGTCCTCAGAAAATAAAGTGGCCAATGGCAATTTGGGGTAATAAGCAGTCTCCCAAGTATGCAGTACAGGTGGGTATCATTATCTTCATCTTACAGATGAGGCCCATGTAACTTGCCCTTGGTTGTAGGACCTTGAGACAGAGAGGTTATATGGATTATCTGAGTAGACCCAATCTAATTACGAATCCTTAAAATCGGAGAGCCCTGGCCAGGTGCGGTGGCTCAAGCCTATCCCAGCACTTTGGGAGGCCAAGGCGGGTGGATCACGAGCTCAAAAGATCGAAACCATCCTGGCCAACATGGTAAAACCCTGTCTCTACTAAAAATACAAAAAAAAATTAGGTGGGTATGGTGGCATGTGCCTGTAGACCCAGGCAGGCTGAGGCAGGAGAATTGCTTGAACCCAGGAGGCAGAGGTTGCAGTGAGCAGAGATCGTGCCACTGCACTCCAGCCTGGCTCCTGGCAACAGAGCAAGACTCTGTCTCAAAAAAAAAAAAAAAAAAAAAAAAAAAATCAGAGAGCCCTTAGTATAGAGCAAAGAGTCAGACAGATGTGAGAAGGACTTGACCTCCTGTTGCTGGCTTTGGAGGTGGATGAAGGGGGCCATGAGCCAAGGATTGAGGCAGCCTGTAGAAATTAGGAACAACTCTCAGCTGACAGCCACCACGAAATAGAGACCCTGGTCCTACAACCTCAACTGATTTCTGCAAACAACTCAAATGAGCAGCAAACATACTCTCTCCTTAAGCTTCCAGGAAGGAATGCAGCCCTATAGTCAGGCGTCTGAACTATTCCAGGACTCAGTAGCAGGCTGTGAGATGTTTATTGGAAGGAGAATCACTTACAAAGCATAGCCTTCATTCTGATTCTCCTCTCAGTTCCTACTACCAGTTCCACTCAGCATCTTGGTCTTCCATATGTGGCCCACCACTGCGTCCTGTTTAAACCTAGCAGCCTTTTACATCAGCAGTAAGTGGATAAGAGCAAAACATTCAAATGTGATAGATATTGATTCCAAAAATCAAAAACAGCCTCCCAGATGTTGTGCTTCTTCCTTAGTGATAGAGGATATTTCTGTCGTGAACCTATCTTTGGAAGGGATGTCATGATACATATGCCTGACCTCCAGACCGCCAGAATTTTATAGAGATTACACATTCCTACATTCAAGGGATTTCTCTCTCACCTTCTGGCATTCATGTAGCATATTAATGCATCCTGCTATCCCTGCTACTTTTTGTTGACCAGATTCTATCTGCATGTCCTTCAAATAGTAGAACAGTATGTTATCCTATTGGACGACAGATAATCAAGGTCCTCACTGGGACTCTGATAATCAAGGTCCTCACTAGGTCCTGCTGGTGTTCTCTGATTATTGAACAGAGAGTAAAAGCATTTTCCAAATCAATCACAACATACCAGTTGCCAGGGGCTATTTGTTTGTTCTGGTGAGAAATGACATCTGGAACCGCCGCTGCATTTAGTCAGCACCATTTGAGGCTTAGAGTAGTACAGTGTCCCCCAAGAGCCATTTTTCTGTACAAGCCAAATGAGAAGTAAAAAGAGATGTGAGAGAATCATCACCTCTGCATCTTAGAAGTCTTTGGTGGTGGGGCCAATCTTGAAGATGCCCACAGGAATCTGGGGGTGTTTTTAGAGACAGGGTGCTCCAGAGGCTTCTGTTTGCCTTTTCTTATCATATAGCCCCACTGAGACCAAAGAGTCACAGAATTCTGCCAATTGTCAAAACTTCCCCCCCGCCCTTGTAACAGGGTCTTACCCTGTCATCCAGGCTGGATGTGCAATGACACAGTCACAGCTCACCTCAGCCTTGACCTTGTGAGCTGGAGTGATCCTCCCTCCCAGTCTCTGTCTGTCTGTCTGTCTGTCTCTCTCTCTCTCTCTCTCTTTTTTTTTTTCCAGATTCTCCCTCTGTCACCCAGGCTAGAGTGCCTCGGCTCACTGCAACCTTCACCTCCCACAGTGCAAGCGATTCTCCTGCCTCAGCCTTCCATGTAACTGGGATTACAGGCACCCACCACCATGCCCGGCTAATTTTTGGATTTTTAGTAGAGACAGAGTCACCATGTTGACCATGGTGGACCAGTCTGGGCTCAAACTCCTGACCTCAGATTATCCGCCCACCTTGGCCTCCCAAAGTGCTGGGATTACAGGCATGAGCTACCACACCCAGCTGTCCATTTCTTTCTTGTTTTTAAACTGCTATAGGATTTTCAAGCAAATCCAAATCCCTGACAGCATGTCATTTTACCCATAAAAACTTTTTTTCTTATATAGCACTTAACTTTATCACTACTAACAAAACTAACATTGAAATATTAAGTGTTTGATATCTCATACCAACTGAACAGTTCCCTTAATTGTCTCAAACTAGCTTTATGTGTATGCTGCAGTTAGTTTGTTAAGGTCAGGATCCAAACAAGATTCATCAAATTTGATAATTATTTCTCTTAAGTGAGGATACTCTCTCTCTGCCAACACACTTTGTGTTATGCCATTCACTCACTGAAAAAAAAAGGGTAACTGGCCTGTAGAATGTTTTCTAGAGTTGGCTGGTTTCTCGTGGTAACATTTAGTTTGTTCTTCTGTCACCTATATCATTTGTTTTTCTGTCCCCTACATCTTCTGTAAATTAAAATTTAGATCTAGGTGGCCCACCACTC